TTGGTGATCCGGCGTCACCTCGTGGGCCGAGCGTTAGGGCTAGACGAGCCAGTTATGGGGGCTATAGGTAGTCTGAAGTGTCTGACGGCCGGGTCTCACTAAGGTAACAGATCCTACTGGACCTCGGACATCTCCCCAGACATTGTGGATACAACATCCACCCTACAGACACGGCCTAGGCTGTGTTAGGGACCTGTATGGATGAAGGGACGGGCACTTACTAACGGTTAAAATGCCCGCGGCGCCCTCACTCAAACTAGGCCAGGGAGTCCAGCTACTCCTATTCCGATGAATTAATTTACGGTACACTCTGACGTTGAAATTGAGACTATGAACTCATTTTCATTCTCTACTATTATCTTCACTAACAATGCGCTGACTCAGCTATCGAAAGCAAAATTAAATTGATTACAAAGGAATGGATGGCAACAGGTCCCAGCATACAGCGTCTGTTCCCATAGACAAAGGCTGCTCATCGATGACGTCATCAAGGAACCGAGAAAACGGAGGACGTTTCCACTGGGGGACTCGGAAGGTTTTGTGGACGTTTGAGCGTAATATGAATCCTTAAGGTTTTCAGGTTAGCTCTTATCATGACCATTACACTAGCTCTTCAAAAACATAATCTCTGGTTACTGCACAAAAGAGAGTTGTACGGACAATGACCTACTTGAAAAAAAAAACAGATCACACAAATAAAAAATTAGCTATATTGAAAATTTTTAAATTCGAAGATGTTAACACCTACTGCTGTGCCCCTTTGTTTACAAATCTATCAATCACTTTTCATTCGCCTCTACCGCCGTGGACTTCCCCGAGTGTTGATGTTGTCGTCCACACCTTCCCTGGTCGTAAATCCACCCAACTGCGGTATATGCTCAAACTTAACTGCCTTGAGCAGATTAATGATACCGCCTCCTCTCTTAAGACCTCCCACCCTCCTATCCTCGTCTACTGTGATGGGTCTGTTACCACGCTGGGCAGCGCTGGGGCAGCTGTGTGGATTCCTGAGCGCCAGGCCTGCAGGAAAATCAGGGTCCACGACTGGGCCTCCTCCACTGATGCTGAAAGCATAGCCATCCTCGCGGGCATTCATGAGGTGGCGACCTACTGTATGCTCGCACTGAACGCTGGAACCTCCTTATAATCAGTGACAGCACTTCGGCGCTAGCGAGGCTCAAATTAGCCTCCCCCTCCTCCCCTGCCGCCCAACACACCCTAGCCGCCGTCGCCGGGCTAGAACAAACTGATGACATCCGTGTCAAGTTTATTTAGATCCCGTCACTTATAGGAATAACTGCCTGTGACACTGTAGGTCGGCTTGCCAAAGAAGCTACACAAGAAGAAGATATTGAAGCCGCTCTCGCCCTCTCCTTGAGTCATCTCAAATCTCGCATACACGCCACACAACGAGAGGCATTCGATGAAAATTGGACACACCTGAAGCAACGGGGTAGCGTCACACTATGCCACTATGACGCTGTAACCGGTGACGACAACCGCCACTACAAAGAGTATCAATCCCTGACTCGATCTCAACAGATTATGTACATGAGACTGCACCTAGGGTACAGGTACCTATGGGAGTACATTGGCAACCCTGAGCCTGGCCGCACTGTTTGTAAACTTTGTGGCCAACCCGACTCTCACACCCTCTCTCACTACATCCTCACTTGCCCTATGACCACCTCCTACAGGTCCCTAGCTGTTACCAACACCTCTTCCCTCCCTGACCAGATATCCCTCCTCCTAGTGACAGGCCTGGCACTTGACATTATTAGGGACCTGCCACGCTTTGCCATAAACAGATGAAATGTACCGGGAACTTTCCCCCCACGCACTCATCATTCTCTCACTTTATGTAACTTGACAAAACCTATGACACTTCAGGCTTTTACCCCCTTAATGCACGAGTCATAAAGGCAAGTATGAACTTTGCATACTTCCCAGATGGGCGCTGTAAATGCTTCTGCGCTTCACCTTGCACAGGATGTAAGGGGGTGCCCAATAAACTATCCCCCTCGGGGGCAAATCTGAATCTATCAATCACTTGCTTGACAATAATTATATCCAGTTCCGGTATAATCAGAGATACAACTTAAGGCACCCAGAGCTACTCCTCCATAAAATATCACGGTGTGAAGGTGTGGTGTAACGGGCCGAGTTTTCTCTTTTCAATAATTTACCATACAGCTACTGTTTTCTGTTAGTATTCTATTTACTCATATACTTATTTGTTCTGTGTAGCATTCCTCTAATGAGTACCCTGTTTAATATACTTATTCTCCTTCCATTCTTTACATATATATTTATTCTTATATGTTCTTACTTATATTCTTATATGTTCTTTACCTCTATATACCTTATATTCTTATATATTCTTATATAAGTAACTCTTATGCTTCTCTACATATGTTTTCCAAGTCAAGGTTCTTTCTTTTCATTTCCTTTCATATAGATTATATTCTCAGTTTCAATGTTCTTACCTTTCTGAAGTATACTTTGTTTTATGTCTTTCTTATACATGGGTTAGTCTGGGGAACCATTTTATTCTTTGTATAACACTTTTTATACTTACAAGGGGCAGCTGCCACCACCCAGACTTTTCATTATATAACAGAACTCATGGAAGGGTTTTGGGTAGTGTGGTAGATGTATAGGCATGTGAGTAAGTATTATTTTCTGGGAACCAATGTTTAGAAGGAGTAGAGTGGTGATACTCAGATTACTAACTCAATATTTATTAATACAGTGAGTGGAGAAGATGCATCTTAGATTCACTCAGGCTAAACAGAACCGAAATTAACTTATTAAGTCATCAAACACTTCAAGAACTTATTACCTCGTTAAACACCTCCAAATATTCATTACTGTATTGGACACTGTTGTAGTATTTCTGGGACAAGTAAGATTTAGAAATGCTTACACACTGTCAATGACCCTGGACCCGCAGGTCTTACTTTAACAAGGAACAAATTACCTTCTCAATTCGTGGTTAGAACCTCATACTCTCAGGTTATTCGTTCATGGGTACTACAGATGAATACATAACACACTGGGCAATTCCACAACCAGTAACATACCATAATTCTTATCACTTCACAAGGAACCACCTGGTACCTTGACCTCTCATTCAGGGGTTCAATACTTAACCTGGGATGACTATATTTCTGCTAGTCATCCCCAAGCATGGATATTAATACGGCTCCATACATATAACCAAGAACAGTGGGTAGACCATGATCATATGACGGAGTCAGTGGGCCAGAGTTGTTTACAGGCTCGCTCGCTAGCTCGGAGCGCCTGGCCCAGGAAAAGTTGACTGTGGCGGTGGGCCGTGGCGTCTGCCAAGGAATCTCGCCCTGGGATTCTAATCTCGCCACCTTAAAGACGTCTTTCGAGAGACATCGTGCCCATCGGCGGCTCCCGAACCTCAGGAGTGTTGCTAACCCCCACAACAGCGTCTGTAGACGTGGAAGAAGAGTCACGAATGCGTGAATATTTAACTTCACTGTACAAAACATACGTCTGGCACCGGTTCAGACGATAGCTAGAGCTCTACTTTACTTGACTTAATTGGCACTGAAGGTACTATGTTGAAACATGAACACTGATATTCGCAAAAATGACTAAGTTAAACTGAGTTAATATGGCGGCGTGGAACACACGTGAACATACCTGTAGACGTGGAAGAAGAGTCACGAATGCGTGATTCTCCCTCGTGTAGAGGTATATACGTGCCCCTGCTGAGCAGCTTGGGCCTCCATATTCATGCCAGAAAGGTCAATCTTACCAACAACATACCTTCTCTACCATGTTGGATCACCGTATATTTAATTATGAACTCCGGTGTTCCGGATCAGGGTACTTTCCTATGTCTATTCATATAATCTAACCAGAGGTTGAGCTTGCCAGGAAAAGGTGGAATATACACGTTGATAACAACAATTCTGCAAGCTCAGGCCTACAGCGAACAAGGAACTATTCACAGGGAGACGTTAAATCTTGGAGATTATACCAGTTGACAGAATAGTTCAGGAAATTAATGACTTTCTTAAATAGATAACTGACACTAATCAAACTATAAACATCAGATTCTCTGATGTCGGGGCGACAAAATGATCTAATTTCAGGCGCGATCAGAAACTCATGGATATTCTTAGGAAACGAAACCGATGGGTATCGTTTGTCCTGGCAGACTCAACACTCACTTACTCGACACGTCTTACCAACAATAAGGACAGTTGGAGCGTTCAACACCCCTCACAATGGATCTTGAAAGTTTCAACTGTAAATCGACATATCTAAGCTGACTCTAAACCAGGGTGTTCTCTCTCACATTCAAATTCATTTTATAGAGAGGTTGGTTTCAATAAGTCAGAGAAAATGGGATAACAGGGGACTGAGGCGTCTTGAAGTGATGAGAAAACGGACTCCTCAGATGGAGGACTCAAAATAAAAGCAGAGGTACATGTTTTGTGGGCTATTGAGCGTAATATGAATCATGTGATTTTGGCGTTAACTGACGTGTACGACCGTGGTCGTTACAAAGCTTTCCCCTCCCAAAGATTCAATATTAGGCGGTATAGTCGACAAAACATTCACAGTAAATACACAATTTCAAACACCATATCTTGCAGTATTGGGGTAATGGTAAAAAATACAGACAACACACGTTACAGAATTTTCACATACGTAAAATTTTGCAGCTCAGTTGAATAATCACACAAACTCCCAGCCAGGGGCAGATAAAATGAACATAGCACCACTTGTTATGGCACACAGAAGAACATAATCATACATCAATATTAAAGAACATAATAATAAAAATAACAGGCCGGCCTCAATTACAGTTTTTGTACACTTTTAACTGCACCATCCACCAGGACGACAGGTAGTTTCCATCTTGGCAATTGATCAGATATGTATAACACTTTTAACTTCAACATCCACTAGGATGACAGGTAGTTTCCATCTAGGCGATTGGTCAGATATGTATGACACTTTTAACTACAACATCCACTAGGATGACAGGTAGTTTCCATCTAGGCGATTGATCAGATATGTATAACACTTTTAACTACAACATCCACTAGGATGACAGGTAGTTATGTAGGACACTGGACCCAAGCTTCAAAATTCATCAATTGAGATCTCAAGCTAGGAGTAGATAGACTGACCCCATCCAGCCACTGAAGTATTTGGGTTGACCTTATCACAAAAGAATCATTCTCCACTCGCAGGACGAGGCAAGATCTGAATGGACAGAGTATGGACTCAAATAGACTTTAATGCCAGCGACCCGGTCCCTATGAAACCCCCAAAACCTCAGTGCCCTTCTGTTACTTTGCAATGCAAGCTTCTTAAACTGCACTAGGTCCATGTACTCTTGTACCTGCCTAGCAATTACTTCACCATGCATGCGTCTTAAACTGCACTAGGTCCATGTACTCTTGTACACGCCTAGCAATTACTTCATCATGCATGCGTCTTAAACTGCACTAGGTCCATGTACTCTTGTACACGCCTAGCCGTGACTAAAGTCCAGCCCAACTACCTCCTACATTAACCCAGGCCTACTGCAGATAGGGCCTCCAAGCAACTTGATCACTCACACCAAACGATGTTCTCACTGCAGTAAGACACATCTACTCATTCCTCTTGTCCATGGTACATACTGACAATCCCTCCCCCAACAGGGTCACTCTGGCCCCTTGACTGGCGAAGCAAACAGTTGATGTTCATCATCAACACATCCCAACAAGATGTAGATGTCCTTGATGGCAGAATCATCAGGTGGTAGCATTTACTGTTACTACTACAGTGCTTTTCACATTCAGCTCATCTCCGGTAACATCTTCGTATTTGGTACTTACAAGGCCTAAGGGGCCCTATGCCTAAAGTACTAACAAAACTTAAAGAAATTAACTGCACTGCCTGTACCAATCAAAACTGCACAACTACACCTTCCCACTGGCAATTGTATGAAAGGGGAAACACTGGAAGGACTTTCTCAATACTCTAGCTAACCTGTCTGACAAGGTTGAAAAATCATTAGTCCACACTATGACATTATCAGGGTAGTTACATTCAACTCGGTTCTTCGCTGCAAAAAGGGGCTACTACTTGGTTTACTTCTCTGGTAAAAAATAAAAAGAATAACGGGACTGGTTGAAAAAACCCAAAAGATAAGCGTGTAAACCTTCATTAATTATATTCCATCACTAAATGTGGTTAGGTCTCGACTTTTGTCGTTAAGTATTTCTTTAATAATATGTGGCTTTCAAGTCTAAGGTAGAATACTATTCATTTCTTGCTGCTCCCTCTACTAATTCATCTAAGTTGGGTAAGTCTAAGCATACTTAACAAAAGATCTATTCAAATCACTGACTTCTCCCTTTCTCACCCGAATTCTAGTACCCATGATAACAACTAGCTTCCCCAGCCTCACCGGCAGTTTTCCTTTCATCAGGTTCTGATCCCGACGGGAAATTTCAAAACTTGATTTTCTCACTACCCCTCCGAGCCTTCGGCGTTCCCCACCGATGAATGCTGGCCTCCATGGCTTTGGCAAGTTCTCGGAACTCACACATAAGTTGTAACTTATTCACAACTACTGTGATCATCGTGCGCTGATGTCACCACAAATCTTCTACAAAACAACCCCACCAAAGATAAATTCATTTAACACCCTTCCAGAGCAAAGGGGGTAAACATTAACACATAAATGCCTCGGATACTTCTTAAATGGATACTCACCAAATTAAATTTAAAGCCAGTAATAGTATGGGAGACTGTTACCCAGAAAATTACATATCTCTAAAGAGAACACTACAAGGTTTCAATTCAAAAAGTACTCATAGCAATGCTCAAAATAAAATACTTGATGATACTTGACGAGAATGTCTTAAGAAAATATAAATCTGTAGCTTTCATGGATGATTAACACAAAGCAGATTTTCTGTACTCGTAAGAATTCACTGTCTTTTTCAATTATCTTGACACTGTGTTAACACTACACAATTTACTCTGTGCTTTACTCACAATTGGTGGTCCTTACATGTACAGAGGGTGTTTCCAGCAATCCATTTTCAGAGATTGTATGTCTTAGATGTCCATTTCACCACAGAGTCCTCAACCCAATCAATACTATGGCTGAAAATACACCGGAATTAGTTCTCAAATACATATAACTTCTTTACCAACAATGCATATCAGTATACACTGTAAGAAATGGTAAGACAGTATGTAATAAAATTCTCTGTTAAAAAAAGCAGGTTGAAAAATACAACCCTGAAAAATTTAACACCAAACTTGTGTTATCTCAATAAATTCAATGGTAACAAATTGACTCCAACTGAGAATTAAAACTCTTTCTAGTTATTTCACCCTTCAGGTCACTAGCAAAAGAAAAAAATAATAACATAACATAACATACACATATAAACAAAATTTATGTAACACTCACTTGGGTTATATAAAAATTTCAAAAGTTAGAAAAATACTTCAAGTGAGAATCTGAACACTTTCAATTGAAATCACAATACTTCCAATAAATGTCACAGCTAAAAATAAAACATTGGATTACATAACCTTTGTACACATGACATTTCTGGTGACACTCAAGAGATGAACCCAGTTCATCACACTCTCAACATGGCAGGTGTACAGTATACTGCCCACTCAATGTCTGTAAATATCCAAAGATTAATACACTGGTCACAAAAAAATTACACAAATGTGCAATTACCACTTTCCTGAAATTTCACACAATAAAAACTCACAAAGATGAGTTAGGTAGCTTATTTCAAAAAAAAATATTTGGTGCATTACCTAATTCTGTGACACAGAAAAAATTAGAACTTTCTTCCACAAAAGATAAGTGGTAAACGAAATCAATTGTTAGTTCTTACCTAACTCTTAAAAACTTTGCAGTTACAACTACAGTATTGTACTTTAAATCACACAATTATTTGTACTCCTTACTGATGACAAAACTTATACATTACTGTATACTGTATTCTGAGAAGACAAATTCACCAAGTATCACACCTCATTCCTTCAAATTGGTTCTCAAATGAAAATAATCCCACTAGCTGGTCACCATTTGTAACGGACCGGGTTTTCTCTTTTCAATAATTTACCATACAGCTACTGTTTTCTGTTAGTATTCTATTTACTCATATACTTATTTGTTCTGTGTAGCATTCCTCTAATGAGTACCCTGTTTAATATACTTATTCTCCTTCCATTCTTTACATATATATTTATTCTTATATGTTCTTACTTATATTCTTATATGTTCTTTACCTCTATATACCTTATATTCTTATATATTCTTATATAAGTAACTCTTATGCTTCTCTACTTATGTTTTCCAAGTCAAGGTTCTTTCTTTTCATTTCCTTTCATATAGATTATATTCTCAGTTTCAATGTTCTTACCTTTCTGAAGTATACTTTGTTTTATGTCTTTCTTATACATGGGTTAGTCTGGGGAACCATGTTATTCTTTGTATAACACTTTTTATACTTACAAGGGGTAGCTGCCACCACCCAGACTTTTCATTATATAACAGAACTCATGGAAGGGTTTTGGGTAGTGGGTAGATGTATAGGCACGTGAGTAAGTATTATTTTCTGGGAACCAATGTTTAGAAGGAGTAGAGTGGTGATACTCAGATCACTAACTCAATATTTATTAATACAGTGAGTGGAGAAGATGCATCTTAGATTCACTCAGGCTAAACAGAACCGAAATTAACTTATTAAGTCATCAAACACTTCAAGAACTTATTACCTCGTTAAACACCTCCAAATATTCATTACTGTATTGGACACTGTTGTAGTATTTCTGGGACAAGTAAGATTTAGAAATGCTTACACACTGTCAATGAACCTGGACCCGCAGGTCTTACTTTAACAAGGAACAAATTACCTTCTCAATTCGTGGTTAGAACCTCATACTCTCAGGTTATTCGTTCATGGGTACTACATATGAATACATAACACACTGGGCAATTCCACAACCAGTAACATACCATAATTCTTATCACTTCACAAGGAACCACCTGGTACCTTGACCTCTCATTCAGGGGTTCAATACTTAACCTGGGATGACTATATTTCTGCTAGTCATCCCCAAGCATGGATATTAATACGGCTCCATACATATAACCAAGAACAGTGGGTAGACCATGATCATATGACGGAGTCAGTGGGCCAGAGTTGTTTACAGGCTCGCTCGCTAGCTCGGAGCGCCTGGCCCGGGAAAAGTTGACTGTGGCGGTGGGCCGTGGCGTCTGCCAAGGAATCTCGCCCTGGGATTCTAATCTCGCCACCTTAAAGACGTCTTTCGAGAGACATCGTGCCCATCGGCGGCTCCCGAACCTCAGGAGTGTTGCTAACCCCCACAACAGCGTCTGTAGACGTGGAAGAAGAGTCACGAATGCGTGAATATTTAACTTCACTATACAAAACATACGTCTGGCACCGGTTCAGACGATAGCTAGAGCTCTACTTTACTTGACTTAATTGGCACTGAAGGTACTATGTTGAAACATGAACACTGATATTCGCAAAAATGACTAAGTTAAACTGAGTTAATATGGCGGCGTGGAACACACGTGAACATACCTGTAGACGTGGAAGAAGAGTCACGAATGCGTGATTCTCCCTCGTGTAGAGGTATATACGTGCCCCTGCTGAGCAGCTTGGGCCTCCATATTCATGCCAGAAAGGTCAATCTTACCAACAACATACCTTCTCTACCATGTTGGATCCGGTGTTCCGGATCAGGGTACTTTCCTATGTCTATTCATATAATCTAACCAGAGGTTGAGCTTGCCAGGAAAAGGTGGAATATACACGTTGATAACAACAATTCTGCAAGCTCAGGCCTACAGCGAACAAGGAACTATTCACAGGGAGACGTTAGATCTTGGAGATTATACCAGTTGACAGACTAGTTCAGGAAATTAATGACTTTCTTAAATAGATAACTGACACTAATCAAACTATAAACATCAGATTCTCTGATGTCGGGGCGACAAAATGATCTAATTTCAGGCGCGATCAGAAACTCATGGATATTCTTAGGAAACGAAACCGATGGGTATCGTTTGTCCTGGCAGACTCAACACTCACTTACTTGACACGTCTTACCAACAATAAGGACAGTTGGAGCGTTCAACACCCCTCACAATGGATCTTGAAAGTTTCAACTGTAAATCGACATATCTAAGCTGACTCTAAACCAGGGTGTGCTCTCTCACATTCAAATTCATTTTATAGAGAGGTTGGTTTCAGTAAGTCAGAGAAAATGGGATAACAGGGGACTGAGGCGTCGTGTAGTGATGAGAAAACGGACTCCTCAGATGGAGGACTCAAAATAAAAGCAGAGGTACATGTTTTGTGGGCTATTGAGCGTAATATGAATCATGTGATTTTGGCGTTAACTGACGTGTACGACCGTGGTCGTTACAGTGGAACAACTTAACCCCACACATCCGAGCAAAGCCTACGCTCCCTTCCTTTAAATCATCTCTTAAAAAAATCTATTGTCTAAGTATTAATATTTCTTGTAACACCTACTATATTTACAGTTCCTGCTTTTATTGTACCATCAAAACCGTTTTATCGGAAATTATCATGAAAATAGATAAGTAATTACAATTGCAATAAACATAATTGCCAACGAGACATAATCATGTTCTGTCCTCTTGTTCAACCTTATTACTGTACAACCCAATTGTAGTTGGGTAGGAGACGCTAATTTTCAGCTCTTGGCTCGCAAGCCAGTTGTCACGGGTTCGATTCCCGGGTCGGTGGAAATTTGTTCCGACACACTTGCCAGCTTCCCTTGGTCCTTGTTCACCTGGCAGCAAAGTAGGTACCTGCTATAAATCGAAAGTTGCGAATTCGTATTCAGGGAAAGTTGTTTGAGCTTCCAATAACTTGCTTTGACATAAACCACTGACTCTTCAGGCTTCTACGCCCTTGACTCTTCAGGCTTCTACGCCCTTGACTCTTCAGGCTTCTACGCCCTTAACTCATGAGACATATTCCTCCTACACCGTCTTCCACCTTCTTGAGCCAATGGCTCTCTTCTCTCCATCCCATCATCATCATCAACCATGAACTTAGCATGCTTCCCTGTTGGGTGCTGTAAACGCTTCTGCGCTTCACCTTAAACAAGGATGTAAGGGGGTGTCCAATAAAAAAAACAAAAAAAAACAGCTCAGCTGCGCCTTTCGCGTCACACTTAGAGGTCACGGTGATTGGCTAAGATGTAGGCACATAGGCAGGCTCTTTTTGGTGTAATATGCCTCTATAATGGCTTTTTGGCAGGAATATTGTCTAAACTAGATTCTCATAGATTTTCTCTAAAACATGACAATTTACATGGCACTGTTACAGAAGCATTTTTTTCCTATGTTTTTTTGTTTTTTTTTACGTTATCAAACTTGACTTGAAGCCTGTAGATAAGGATGAAGGGCTAATATTTGTTGCTGGGTTTTTGTTGGAAGTACTTTGGAAGTATTGGGGCGGGGGGGGGGGGTTAGGTGGACGTAAATGAGGGGAAAGTTTGAAGGAAATTAGGAGAGTAAAAGTATCCGGGCTCAACTAGACATGCTGTATTTTAAAATTCTTTATTGATCTTTTATACTAATAATTTAAGTTGTAGCTCGCTAGCTTTTGACTTTTCTTCTCGTTCATGTTTTGATATAACAGTAGATAGTATTTCAAGCGCTATAATAATTATTTAATGTTTTTTTTTTTCTTTTTTTTTTAAGATTTATTGGACTGCTACTCCTGCGGACCTGAAGTTACCAGTTTCATACAGGCGTAATAGTGGTAGGTAGACATGAGAGACCGGTGGTTATCACCATTGAAATAACTTATATTACATAAGAATAAAAGCATTTCTATAATCAAGATCCAGGTTTATTTTCATTATATTAGATTACTATTAATTATGACTAAACGGTTGCACAATGAGGGCCATATTATAAAACAGAACATTTATGAACTAAGTTATGCCCTTAAAGACCTTAGTTGAAGCGCAGTCATAACATTGTAACAATAACATTCTCGTTGATTTGCTATATTTGTTCGGATTTAAAGGAATTATGTAAATTAAATCCTCTTAAAGAAAATCCACATAAGTAATACCACTTTTGACTGCCAATCACGGTAGTCTTAAATGTTAAGAAGGACTTGTAAATCTTATTTTAAAACTCTTCTAGACACTGGACAATAAAACCTTTAATGTCTTTCTTGACTGGAACTACAACTCCAAGTATGTTCTAAGTTAATGTTTGTTGGGGTCTTGAACAACTTTGCGACCATAGCTCTGGTTTCCCTTCAAAACGCATAAATCTTTCGCCTTTTACTAAAGATTTCCGTGGGGGGGAACAACTCAATGAGTCTTAATTAATTTTTTCTTAGCCCATTCACATGGGCTCACAAAACTAATTCAAATTAGCTGAAAATAATCATACAATGTCGTAATCAAGTGTATGTGATCTAATGTAGTAAAAAAAAAAATCTATTCACATATACAACGTCCTGGATGGAACAATTATCCCGACTATTACAGATCTAAATCAGGTTGGGAGAATACAGATCTGTCATAAAATTAATTTCATGCACTTATCAAAAATTGCTCTAGACTTCAAACAAACCAAGGGTACCTAGGGACAGCACTAGGATCCCGCTTCCTCTAACAAGAAATAAAAAATATTGAAATTGAATTGAAATCTGTAAACCTTTTGAGTTCCCTACTTGAAATATTTGTTCTCTAACCACTTCGGGAGAACGGAGTCCTCCGGAGAGACTCAGGTATTCCAAAATACCGCACAGGGTGTTCATGAAATTTGAATTGGTGAGAGAACACCCTTACTTTGCGTCAACTTAGAGATGTCTGATTACAGATGAAGCGTTCAAGATCCTTTGTGACTGATGTTGAAAGCTTCTATTGTATTTACTGTTAGTGAAATTGTCAATATAAGTCAGGGTAGAATCTACTTTAAGAATGAGGTATCATTGACGTCATCCCTAGAGATGCCAGTAATTGTTAACTGTGGCTGAAGTCACCCCCTTTTCATATATGAACATCACAGAATCTGATGTTCATGGTGAAATTGTTGTAAGGGTGTTAATTAAGAAATTAATTAATTATCCTGAAGGGGACTCTCACGCCACGTATCTCTGAAAATCTAACGGGTGTAACCTAATACTACTTGTCTAACGCTCCGGAACGTTCACCAGGGACTGCCATCTTGAACCTTGAAATCAATTTAATTCTGGTCTTCGATAGCTCAGTCACAGCGAAGTTTGAAAAAAGGATCTTAGGAAAGTAAAATGAGTTCGTAGTCTCATTTTCACGTAGTTGATTGATACGTTTATTGAGATAAAAAAAAATACATCTCAAAGGGATGAAGTGACTTAAGTCATCCGCCACCCCAGTCCAGGAATGTCCCTCTCAGGACTCACATAAATCCCTAATACAGATATATCTTGTATAGTACATAGTTATATTCCAGATGCAAAATTTCTATATTTCTTGAATATTTCATCTACTTTCCTATTTTTAAGCATCCATTCTATTTGCTTGGAGACATTATTTATCTGGGCATTTCTATATACATTAAGAAATGGGCATCCCATGTGGCAGGGTATGGGACCTGGATGTTCTACAAACTCTACATTCCATATCCCGTTCACTTCTCTCGGCTCCAAGTTCCTAGTAATATTTATACCCTAATCTTAACCTCATACACACCGAATCTTTCCACCTGCTCCTATCTTTCCTATTTGTAAAATTTGTGTTCATGAGAACATGATAGTAATGTTTCATTGTTTCACTTTTCTCATATATTTCATTCCTTTTTAAATTATCTTCTATTGATTGTATTTTCCGCAATTTGCTCATAATTTTTTCAAAGTTTTAATACATATTATGTCAATCTCGGCCTTTTCCGTGACTCTTTTTGCTATTATATCTACTGCTTCATTAAGACCAATCCCCACATGTGAAGGGGCCCATACAAATCGAAAACTATGGCCTTTTTTCCTTATTGTATTTACAATTTTTCTACATAAACCAATAATGTGTTCAAAGACTGAACTCCCGCTGCTCAAAGAATCTAAAGCTGCCCTACTATCAACAAAAAAATATATATCTTTATTCCTCTTTACAACATTTTCTAAT